GGCAAGTTTGTGAGGTGACAGGTGTCTATGCAGAAGATGGCAGGGACACCATGGAGGTCACTAAAGAAACCATGCACCTTCTCCCCCTTGTGTTTTGGGAGAATTCGTGACAAGCAGGATTCTCCTGACATTGCCCTCAATGCCTTGGTACTTGGGCCTACATCAAGTCCAGGAGATGCCGAGCTGAGGTTCAGGCTGGCTCACCCCAGGTGCAACTTCCATGTTTCCTGAGGCATGAGCCCCATCTGGTGGCCCTTTCTATCCAACCACAATCATCAAGCCCAGGTTTCATGGGTCACTAGGGGCTTTGCCTCTGCCAGACTGTGCCATCTGTCTCCAGCATAGGGTGGCTGTGGGCCTCAGACAGGAAAGGTCCCTTCTCCTGTTGAACCAGAATGAATAAAGGCTGAGAGAATCCACCTGGGGAGGGGGGGCTGGAAGGTGTTAGATGAGAAAGTACCAGAAATCTTCCTGAAAGGAGAGCAGTAGGGAGGGAGGGAAGGAAGGAGAGAGGGAGGGAAGGAAGGAGAGAAGGAGGGATGGAAGAAGGAAGAGAGGGGGTACAGAGTCACAGTGAAGGAGGTGAGAGCAACTATCAACATGAGTGTGTGTGGGGGGGTGGGGCATATTTGGATAAGTGTATGCCTGCATGTGTGCTAGCTTGTGTGTGTATGTGTGCGTGTATGCATGCATGTGTGTGTATGCATACATGTGTGTGTATAACCATCTCTGCATCTCTCACCTGGGCTGGACCTTGCAGAACCTCAGATCAAAGAGCACAGACCCACTCTCTCAACCCTCTCATGGTAATGTGGCAGCCAGGACTCACAAAGCTAACTCTGCATGGTGCCTGTACACCACATAGACAGGCTGGGCTGTACTCTTCTGAGAAACCCAGACAAGGCCCAGGGCCCCTCTGTCCAACACTGCAGTCAGTCCTGGCCTACTCTGCTGGGGCCTCTGAGCATCCAAATGCACAGGCATAGGGAACCAGATGCTTAGTGACTATTTAACTAACTTTTGGGGGTTTTGCCCATTTTTTTTTAATGTATAGAAGTCAGAGGACAACTTGCAGAAGTCGGTTCTCCCCTCCCACTACTTAGGTCCCAGGGATGATACTCAAATCTTCAGGCTCAGCGCTAAGTGCCTTTACCGTTGAGGGATCTTGCTGGCTTGAAATTTAAATGTGAAATCTCTCTACATTCGATGATTCAAAATCTTCTTCAAAGCAACTGGCACAGCATTTGCTACTTCCAAGAGGAAGAGTCTTACCTCCATCTTCCGGATGAAGGAGCAGCAGACAACAGAGAGTGCCTACAAGCCACTGTGGATTTCAGATGGGAACACGACCCCTGAGCACCGCCACCTTCCAGGTGGGACACAAGTTTGAGAATGGCATTTCCCAGAATATCTTGCTTTCCCCAAACACAATCAAAGTCATGCCTGCTTAAAGAGAAAGATGTCTTTAAGAAAGACGTAAGCCTGGAGAAGGGGATGCAGTTCAGTAGACAGATTGCCTGGTTGCCCTAAGTCGGATCCTCAGTACACTCAGTGTGTCAGTGGCCACCTGTAATCTCTCCACTGGGGAGATGGGGTGGGGTGGGCTGGAGGATCAGGCATTCAAGGTCATGCTTTGCTCTATAGTGAGTTTGAAGACAGACTGGGCTACATAGGTATTGTGTGTGTGTGTGTGTGTGTGTGTGTAAATATATATATATATGCAGATAGATAGATAGATAGATAGATAGATAGATAGATAGATAGATAGATAGAGATATCTTTTAAAAAACATAAGCTGGCTGTACAGAGATAGGTCACACCTTTAATCTCAGCACTTGGGGGACAGAGGCAGGAGGATCTCTGAGTTTGAGGCCAGCCTGGTCTACAAAGTGAGTTCCAAGACAGCCAGGGCTACACATGGATCTATCTCAGAGAGAGAGAGAGAGAGAGAGAGAGAGAGAGAGAGAGAGAGAGAGA